GGCTCGAGCTCGGGTTCTCTCTCGGATTCCCCACTATCATTATCCATAGCTTCGTCAAACGTTCGTTTTGACGTACTCGGTCCCTCGCTGGACCTACAAGGAAATACATTTTCAAAGAAAGATGCATTCCTTGATTCTATTATCGTGTTCTCGTGTACCTCTGGATTATGGGACTCGTGTACTAAGAACCGGTAAGCACTACTATTATGTGCATAGCCAATAAAGATACAGTCCACCGTCTTGGGACCTATCTTTACTTTCTTAGGTGTTGGCACCAAAATTTTGGCAACACACCCCCACACTTTCAGGTATTGGTAGGAAGGTTTCCTACCGTTCCACAGCTCATAAGGAGTCTTATCGAGCTTCTTGCGAGGTACCTTATTTAAAAGGTAATTACTTGTCAAAATAGCCTAACCCCAACCATCTTGAGGTAGGCCCGAACTTATAAGCATCGCATTCATCATATCTTTCAATGTACGATTCTTTTGTTCGGCAACACCGTTCGATTGAGGTGAGTAAGGTGTCGTACGCTTGTGTATTATACCTACACTCACACAGAAGTCACCAATAGGTGTTTCGTACTCACCACCTCTATCGCTTCTAACTTTCTTAATCTTACGATTAAGTTGGTTTTCAACTTCATTCTTATAAAGAATGAATTTTTCCAAGGCTTCGTCTTTGCTTTTAAGCAAATACTCATAGCAATAACGTGTGCTATCGTTGATAAATGTGATAAAATATTTATTACCACCTTTCGTTTGTATCGATCTAAAATCGCACAAATCACTATGGATTAATTCTAGTGGTTCAGTTTCCCTTTCAACCGATTTGAAAGGTACTTTCGTTAGTTTTGTCTCAACACAAATTTCACACTTGTTATTTGTGTTAATTTAAAAATTAGGAATATGGTTCATGTTAATTAATCTACGCATATAATTAAAGTTAACATGACCTAGTCTACCATGCCACAAATTGGAAGACTCAAGCAAGTTAACCGAATTAACTTTGCTCTTATTCATGATAATAGGCATTACATTGAGCTTAAAAAGCCCATCAGTTACATAACATTTGCCTACAAACATTCCTAACTTAGACAAAACAACCTTGTCTGACTCGAACACCATGCGAAAGCCTTGTTCAACAGTGAGCTAGACACTAGATTCTTCCTCAGCTCTGGAACATACAGCACGTTGTTCAACGTCAGTTCCTTCCCGGAAGTCATCTTCAGAACCACCTTGCCCACGCCTTCCACAGCAGACTGAGCAGAGTTTCCCATCCAAACATTCTCGCCCTCAACGGTCTCAAAGGTACGTGTTGAACATCTCTCGGTTGCAACACAAATGCCTTGTTGCACCAGTATTGATGAACCACTCTCGTGGGTTAGAGTCAACGAGGTTCACCTCGGTCACATAGCCGAAAGGCTAATCTCGACCTCCTTCTGACTGCTTTCTTCAACCATGTTGGCTTCAGAATTCTTGTTCTTCTTCTTTGGAACTTTGCATTTAGAAGACTTGTGGCCAGACTTGCCACAATTGAAGCATTTTCCATGAAACTTGTTCTTGGTAATGCCTCCACTTGGACCTAGCTTTCGCTTGTCCTTCTTGTTCTTCTTGGAGCTTTTAGCATGCTCCACAACATTGGCCTTAGCGCCAACAGTGACAGGATTTTTCCCATCATTCGTCCTGTTCCCCTCCTCAATTCTGAGTCACTGGATCAGGTCCTCCAGGTTCATTTCCTTTCACTTATGCTTAAGGTAGTTCTTGAAGTCCTTCCACCCTGGAGGCAGCAAGTGGATAACAAATCCCACTAGGAAGACTTCACTCAACGTCATGCCCTCGTCACGGATTTCATCAAAGATTAGTTGTACATCTTCAACCTGACTTAGCACGGTCTTGGAATCAACCATTTTGAAGTCAAGGAATCGGCCAACCACAAATTTCTTTGCGCCGGCATCCTCACTTCGGTATTTATGATCCAAGGCTTCCCACAGCGCTTTCGTTGTGCCAATCTTGCGATATACATCGTATAACGCATCACATAATCTGTTCAGGATGTAGTTTCGGTATAGGAAATCCGAATCCTTCCAATAGCCAACTACCATCATGGATTTGGCATCCTGTTCTCTTAATTCAGGAACTTTCTCGGTCAAGAAACTTGCTAAGCCAAGAGTTGCAAGGTAGAATAACATCTTTAATTTTGTTGCCACCTCTTGAAGTTCGATCCACTACCGGTGAACTTCTCCGATCTTTCGGCCGAACCACTCTGTACCGAAGGTACCCGAGTCATGGGAATATATCCCTCAGTGCTCCCACCATCTTGTGAACCAACGTTCACTGGTGTAGCTTGGGAATTAGCAACATTGTTGCCATTCCCACCATTGTTATTCTCAACAACATTCTCCTCCCCATGAACTGGCAAAGCGGGGTTCTCCATTTCTTCTAGGAAATTAGAGATAAACAACCAACGAGAAACGTGAATAAGGTTTTAAGATTGTTAGGTAATAAGGTGGAAAATCCCAAAAAAATAATAATCCTATGGAAAGATTAATATTATATGGGAAAAACAGAAAAACTGGGAAGGAAAAGGTGGAGTGTTTGGGTATAGGTTTAGCACGAGTTCGAACACAAAGTTCTTTTTCTTAAAACCTTATTTGCTACCTCCCACAAGTGCTAGGAGCGTTGTAGCCTAGGTTTCCCAGGATAAAACGTGCTACGATTCTTTGTTTAAGCACTTAAACAAAGAACCCGGCAAACAAAGCACAGCAAGAACACAGGTTGGCTAAAGAAGAGAGTAGAAGCAGAAGTTTTGAAGCAAAACTGTACTGGAATTCCTTAGTTTCTTGTACTGTGTAAAATGCTTCTGCCCTACGTCTCTTTATATAGGGCTGTTGGAAGGGATAGCATTCAACATGGCCATTAATTGGTATTAAAATCAATTGTGTACCTGTAACAGCCACCCAGTAACTAGGATTAAACTCATATTTAAAATTGGAATTAAAACAGTATTAATTTCGTAACAGATGAGTTTAATCTGCACAACAGGCTGAACTTTTGGGTTTCAGACCGTTGGGGTGTAGGTTCGCTGTTCAGGACACGAGAGTACAAGGAGGTTGGAAAATGATACCGAAGTTTGGCATTACTTAGCCCGCAAGGCCAGCTAATTTTCGGACGGCATTTGTGCCCGCGCACACGAGTTCGGGCTTGAATCAAGTCTTTTCGATCTCGTTTCTAGTTGGAATTTGATTTGCAACAATACCCTTTAATTTCACGGTCAACAAACCACACTTCTGACGGAGGACTAAAAGTGTCCAACGACCAATAAGAGTCGCTACAAATTAACAATTTTTATTATGAAAGATGAAAAGTGTCAATGTTCCAATAAGTCTAGGACCAAAAATTGTATTAACTCTATTATTTATAGATAATCTCCTAAACTCCACGCTTTCAATCTTTACCAAGCTTGTTTTTATATTATGGACGCCTTGATTTTAGGCTTTATTTTCCCTTGATCATTACGTTTTCATGGTCAACACGTAATGTATAGTAGTTGAGCATGCATGTAAACAATTTCAACACCTCCTTTTTCTAATAATCATGTATTAAGCACAGCACTCGTACAATCGTTATGCTATGGACCCGTGTCCAACATACATTGTGGACACAATAACAGTGCCGTTAGTGGTATCGTTACCTTCCACCATTTTTTTAATTTCAGACCGCTTCGTTATAGGAGTATATGTTCGTAATTTTATCACTATATGTTCATAATTGTAAGTTCATGATGTCAGAGCTCTGTGTTCATAATTCTATAACTGTACATTCATAATTCCGTAACTGTACATTTATAATTCAATAACTGTAAATTCATAATTTTTGAAGATCTATGTTCACAATTTTAGAGCTCTATGTTCATAATTTTATCACTATATGTTCATAATGTCATAGCTCTGTGTTCATAATTCCATAACTGTACATTTCATAATTTCATAACTGTACATTCATAATTTCACAAATGAATAATGTCGTTAACGCCGTTAACGGCGAGACAAAATCAATTTTTTTTAACTGAAATGTCATCGTTTTCTCTGAAAACGACACCGTTTTGGACTCGTGTCCATAATGCATTATGGACACGAGTCCACAACATAATTTGCCGCACACGTATTGTAGCTCATGTATGTTCCCCATTTTTGTTTTGCACTTTAATTTGTTTTGTGAGAATACAAATTAAAGCACACCTAAAGCAATGTGGCCCATCATGTTCCCATTTATTTTGCATTCCCAATTTCCCATTTCCCCATAATTTACTTTAGTTCCCATTGGCAAATTATTCTGGGGATCGGGTCTACCTGCGATATGGAACTCGGTCCAAAATACATAATTTATATTTAAATGTTGACAATTTTGTAAAAGGTAAATTGTGAACATTAAATATATAAATTGTGTATGTAAATTTTAAACATTCGATATGTAAATTGTATATTTTGAATCCGATCCACCTTACAAGGTAGACCCTAATCTATGGTATAACAACTTGTTGCCATTTATTTGGCATTCCCATTTAACCATAATTTACTTTGGTTCAGAATCAACATAAATAACATATATATGTCAGTTAACATTAGTACACAAATTAAATAATAATTTTTGTACCAACAATCCACACATTTGTGTTGATCATGATCCCTAATTATACCAATTGCCAAATTACCAATTGGAAGAGAGTATTTTGTCTAATTGTAAGACAAGTTTAAAGAACAAACATGACGAAGGGATGAAATTGTGATATTAGTAAAAATAAAAATAAAGAAAATTAGAAGATCAGACGATCAAAGAGTCTTTCACCTTCATATTAACCTACCCTCCTCTCCTTATCCACAAATATTAATTATTTTTCCTTTTTTATTTTCATAGTCATTCCCTAATCCGCTATATATAGGATCACATAGAAGCATTGCTTCTCATCAATAATCACTTTATTGAATTACTATTAATTAAACCATGATGAGAATCTCCGTTTTCACTCTTTTTTTTCACATCCTTTGTTTGCGTGCCACAGTAAAAACCACACCCTTACATGCAAACAAAGAAGAAGCTGAAGCTCTCCTACAATGGAAGAACAATGGCCTATCATCATCATCTACTTCTTTACTGGATCCTTCCTGGTCTATCAACAACCTCACAAATTTGTGCAGTTGGGAGGGTATCATTTGCAACTCGGGTGGATCCGTTTCAGAGCTGAATCTACCTCATGAAAACATCAGAGGTACACTTGAACAACTCCGTTTTTCCTCACATCCTAATCTTAGTCGTATCAATTTGAAGAACAATAGTTTGAGCGGAGTGATACCATCTGCTATCAGCACCCTCCTTAAGCTCACTTTTCTGGACTTGAGCAATAACAACTTCACGGGGGCAATACCAGTAGAGATTGGGCAGTTGACAGAGCTCAGGTACTTTAGTTGTTTCAGAAACTTTCTGGAGGATGTGATTCCATTTGAAATTAGCAATCTTCAAAACCTGAGGTACCTGGATCTGGGAGTGAATAATATGAAAACTCCGAATTGGTCTAAATTCCATGCTATGCCTTTGTTGAAGCATCTCAACCTCCGTGCTAATGAGTTCACTTTGGATTTTCCAAAAGACTTGATAATAAGTTGTCCAAACCTGTCTTACCTTGATTTGTCAAAAAACCATTTTACCGGCCAAATCCCAGTGTCTGTTTTTTCCCCGCTACAAAAGCTGGAGCATCTTGATCTTGGTAAAAATTTCTTCCAAGGACCTTTTCCCATTAGTCTTACCTACTTATCCAACCTTAAATTTCTTTGTCTTTCATACAACAACTTTTCTGGAGCAATTCCAAAAGAAATTGGTTCAATCACCAGTCTTCAAGCATTGAAATTGGCCAATAATTCATTTCTTGGGAATATTCCACCTTCCATTGGAAGCCTAAAACATCTTCAGTATCTTTCTCTCAGAAAAAATCAACTGAATTCTATGATTCCCTTTGAACTTGGGCTATGCACAAATCTTGAGTACTTGAATCTACACCATAACTTTCTAACAGGCGAGTTGCCTCCCAGCATGTCCAATCTTACCAAACTAGTTGTGTTAGATTTAGGTCTCAATATGCTTTCAGGTCAGATAGTACCACACCTCATTGCGAACTGGACACAATTAACTTCCTTGTTTATATATAGCAATAATCTCACTGGAAGGATTCCCTCTGAAATTAGTTTATTGACACAACTTCAATATCTTTCCCTGAGTAGTAACCAGCTCTCAGGTTGCATTCCCTCAAACATTGGGAATTTGAAAAAGTTGTCTAAACTTGACCTTGACTCAAACCACCTCTCTGGTCTAATTCCTTCAACAATTGGAAATTTGACAGAGCTCAATTGGCTAGATCTTGCACATAACTATCTTAGGGGGACATTACCATGGGAAGTAGGATATTTAACATCACTATCTCTTGTTTCCATAAGTTCCAACTTTCTTCACGGACCTGAGACCTTATCAATCTTTTGCAATCTCACATCTCTTTCACTCCTTTTCATAGCTCATAACAAGTTGAATGGAGATATTCCTATTTCCATTGGAATCCTTGGTGTTCTTCGGCATCTCAATTTGTCTCATAATAGGCTAACTGGGCATATACCATCATCATTGGGAAATCTAACATTGCTTGAAGCCCTAGACATGTCTTGCAACCAACTCACAGGAGAAATTCCATGGCAACTGTCAAAGCTTGGATTTCTTGAAGTACTGAACCTCTCCTATAATCATTTATTTGGAGCAATACCCCGCAGCGGGCAACTTGATACAATTGGCAATGACTCCTACCTGGGAAACACAGCACTGTGTGGCTTTCCATTGACTCTGGAATGTGAAGCCAGCAGAAAACCACATGTGCCGTCACAAGAAGAAGAAGACGAGGATTCGGGTTTTTTTAATGGATTTTCTTGGCAGAGCGTGACGATAGGATATTGCTGTGCATTTCCATTTGGAGTCTGTGTGGGATATTTTGCTTTGCGATATGGAAAACTCAACTGGTTGCTAAGGAAACTCATATGGAAGAGAGGAAAGGGTTCCAAAAATACTGTTTCAAGAAGACATGCCAGAAGAACAAATTAACATTGCAGATCAAGTGGTACAGGTATTTAAATTAAATCTCCCTTTATTTTCTAAATTCCAAGTTTACGTTTTCAATTTCTTCAAAGATGTTTTCTATTATGGCAAAAACTTGAAAAAGAAAATTCAACAAAAACTTGTGTGAGACGGGTAGAATGGTAGATATCTAGATAGGTACGTACCACAATTTCAATTATAAATATTATTCCATACAATATTAATCATTAGTAACAGTTAATTTACCATAGACCGTATCACAATTTCACATATAAGGAGTATTACAATATTTGCTATCATATAAGTAACGATTTATTTTTAATTCAACTAGTATTTGCACCCGTGCGATGCACGGAATGAATTTGTTGTAATATAGTAAGAATATATGAATCGATATATAATTATTTAAATTAGAACATCAAATATTATATAGTGCAATTAAAGATATGGTTTGCATCGTTTATATATTTTGATGTTATTATTGCTTCAATTTGTGCAAATAATTGCTCAAATTAATAGCTAATGTCTAGATGTACACATACGGTGCTATAACTTTGAAGATTTTATTTATTATTATTTAGTATTTTCATAAATTAGGCAAATGTGCTCGTTCTCTAACAACTCAGTTATAGAAATGAATTGGTATCCTTATTCATTTGTATGGAAGATTTTTTTTTTTTTTTGTCGAGATATATAACAATTTTTTCATTTAAAAAAAAATTAATATCACCGATTATATTTACACATTATTGAAACCTCTTTGTAGACGACATTGGTAGTGACAACGCAATCTTGTTCATCTTCGTCTAGAGCTAACACCTTCAATCCATCAGGACGGGTTACTAGGGTTAAAATATATAATGGTAGAATATTACTCAATTAGTTATATCAGATTCATTTTCAGCAAATTATTTTTTTTATTTTCAGTCAATTAGTCAATTAGAATATCAAATGCAGTGATATTTTTACCTAATTTTCGTTCCATTTTTAATTGATGATGTAGATATTATTATTGAAATATTTCGGTTCCATTTTTAATTTACATTTACTATTGTTTAAAATATGCATTTACTATTGATAATGTAGAATATTATTATTGAAATATTTTTTCCTCAATTTTTTTATTTTCATTCCAATTTTAAATAAAATGCAATGATCTGACCATTTATTTTTCTTTTTTTTTTAGTCAATTATGGATCATTTTTTATTTGCAGTCAATTATTAATATTATTTCATTTTATATTTTCAGTCAATTAGTAATATTAGATTTATTTTCAGTCAATTATTTTTTTTTTATTTTCAGTCAATTAGAATATAGATGTAGTGATATTTTTACCTAATTTCCGTTACATTTTAATTTGATGATTTTTAATTTACATTTACTATTTTTTAAAATATATCTTTACTACTTGATGATGTAAAATATTATTACTAAAATTTTTCCTTTACTTCTAAAAAAAACAAAAAAAAAAAAAAAAAAAAAAAAAAAAAAAAAAAAAAACTTTGGACTTCTCACTACTTGCCCACAGTGATGGGCAAGCAATTATGTTTGTAAACATTTTCAAGAGCTCCTCTTTCCAAACATTTTCAATGTGAGATTAAAATGATCCCACATCATTCTTCTTATTTTTTTTCTAATTTTAATTTTAGTTTGTATATCATTTTGTTTGGATGATGATGATGATAATTATTATTATTATTATTATTATTATTATTATTATTATTATTATTATTTGATTATTGACGATTTAAAAAAAAAATTGAGATTGACAAATTCACCAAAATTTTAACAAATTCGTCATTTTAACAATTTATCTTTAAGCAAAACACCAAAAATGTTATTTAATAACTCAATATATTTGCTCTAAAGTGCTAAAAACTAAAACAACACATACATTTTGGGTTAATCTTTCCCAACACCCACTAATAATAAATAAATAATAAATAATAAATAATAAATAATGAATAAAAACTAAAATAAGAAGACAAAGCTAAGGTTTCTTAAAGAGAAAATTACCGATTTGGTCCCTCGACTATGAGGATTTCACCAATTTGGTCCTCGACTACCAAAATTACTCAATTTGGTCCTTGACTATGACATTTTTACCTGATTTGGTCCTAAGTGTTATTTGCAAGTCAAACCTAAAGGGTAATTTTGAAATTTAAAAAAAGTATCTTCCTTCTTCTTCCCTAAATCTAAGTCGTTTGTTTTATATAGATAGGTTATTTGTTTTCGATAGCAGTCGCAGCTTCAATCTTCTTCCCTAAATCTAAGTCGTTTGTTTTATATAGATAGGTTATTTGTTTTCGATAGCAGTCGCAGCTTCAATATGCAACCAAAGTGCCGTGAATCATCTTCATCCAGCTATAATAATCGAATGATGTT